TGTTGCCGGCTGCCAACTTCAAGACATCTTTCAGAGCCAAGTTTACGGGTTTTTCATAATAAGAAAATTCCGGTCAAAGTCACACCATTTTAATTCCAGTGAAAAATGCTACCATCTATAAGAAAATCACCTCATGAAGCTTTCTATGAACTTTCGGAGTTTTCCTCGGCTCTCTACTCTATCAGCGACCAATCGACCTCCCAGGTACTTATCTCACCGATGTCAGGACATAGTATTGATCAGTCCGTTAATGTCAACTACCATTGTGGTCTCTTCTATTCACTATTTTGCAGAACAGATCAGTTAGGACTGCCGTTGTCGAAAATTTTTCCATATTTTAAATTTCAATTTTCAGCGCTTTGAAGGACATCCTGCTTTTCTGAATGTGAGTAGGGTTTCTCCAAATAGAATTATGGCAAGCATTTCGCAGATTAGTTTATTAGTTTTTAGCCTTGTATTGGAATCCGCTTTATTCAAATGGGTTGTAAAATCTCATGCACATTCGGCTCCTAATCAGTTGATGATGTGCGAAAAGGTCCTTAGGTAATAAGCGCAGATACCGTCGAGGTCGACTGGGGTAGGTGGAAAATGGGACGGTTGACCCCTCGTTAATGACTTGTCGCACCTACGATTCGAGGCATAATTAACGAGGTGCGAAGGGACGTCATTACGAGGTGCGAAGCGACCTCATTAAGCCGAGGCACGTCGCGCTAACTGCGGTTGGCCTCGGTAAGAGGAGAAGTTATTAAGCTATCCAAATTCATGGCATGATTCATCGAAAATTTGAAAGGGTAAAAAGGTTGCTATATATTTCAGCTATTTATTAGTTTATTATTATTTGTTATTATTACTATTACAACTATTCAAAAAAAAAGTGTGCAAATCGAATAAAATGTATCATATAGTTTTGTTTGTAACAAACTGGGACATCTTTCTGCAGTAGGACTCTATTTGGGCACTTGATACTCCCTGCTGATAAAGCTCGTTGAATCTGAAAATAATAATAGTCTCGTTAATGGGTAAACGAAGAAAGTGATTTGAAAAAAGGTCCTACTGCGCCATTTCCTCAGATATTTTATCTTTCCTCTCCATGTACTCTTTTCGTAATGTCCTAGCGTTCTCCGGTTCCTAAACTGTGAGTTAAATTATGAATCAAGGGGAAATGGACATCATATCTACCATCTGCAACACTTACTTCCTTAAGACGTGTGAGGGCGGCCATGGCTTCATAGTTAAGCTTTCTCAAAACATCGATCAGAACGCTTAGCGGTGGGTGGTCAACCGATGCCAAGACCTGTATTCTCCTGAAAAATGTCGATTATTCTGCATCTCTGATAATTTGGAAGCTGTAAACCTGTGAAAGGCTTCGGCAAGATTAGTCGTCCTCAGCTCCTCAACTCTCCACTTGCACCACAGATCTTTGAACGGCCCACTCAGCCAGGTGGTTTCCAAATAATTAAGGAAATCTTGGCATCTGTCATGCAAGTCGCCACTCGGCACTGGTTTACCGCGTAGTGCTCGTACTTCAGGCCACAGATCTTGCGGGAGGAATACCATTCCTGCAGATATGTATGTACTATTAATTTGCACACAATGAACAAAAAATTCACGCTACCTTTTAGCGTTTCCCACCAGTTGACCACGCGTTCATCCTTTTCTGCGCCTTTCAGGTACTTCTGGAGCCCCAAATGGTTTCTTTTGCGGTTCCACGCTTGCGCCAGGTGGAAGGCACATCCTTCAACAGTCGCATTTGGGAATACCTTATTGGCCGCATGGATGGCAGCTTTTTCGAAATCAAGCACTATGCGCCTGGGTGTTTCACCTAGCAGACTTCCTCTTCAGGTGCTCGAATACTCTCTTGTACCCGCGACGAGTTTTCTTTTCCATAATGCAGAA